TTATCCTTTAGTTGAGGAATCACCATAGATCGGGTCGAGAACGATAGACAGAGGTTAGTTGCATTAAACGTTCTCTTAACTACTCTAGTCAGTCTATCCCGTAGCACATCACTAGCTTTATCTCCTCTGAATTGCAGCTTCAGGAAGAGGGGTTTACTACAAGCCGTTGATGTCGCTACTTTCCTCTTTGTTACATGCACGTGTTTCTTCAAATAACCTTGTGGACAACCCATTCCAACCAACATATTATGTACAAGCTCTAGTTCCTTGTTTATAGCATCGTCTGAGCATATCTTCCTAGCTCTTTTTGCAAGATATCTAACTAGGTTTCTCCAACAATGAATGGGTACAAAGTCCGCGAAATGCGTGTACCGGTTAATGAAGGACTTTTCCTATACACACTTCTACTGATAGAACCACTTTCTTTTCTGATTAACAAAACGTCAAGGAAATGTCCTTTGTTATCAAGTTCCTCTTTATACGTAGATTTTATTTCTAAATTTTTTATCGTTAAATAGCTCTAAGAGTTCTTATTTTTCAGTTTTCTGATCGACTACAATGTAAGTATCATCAGTGTAACGACAGAAAAAGTCAAGCTTATCAATAGCACCTTTGAGAGGTCCGTTCTCTAGTTTCACAAGAAAAAAAGATCAGCAAGGATAGAACCTAAAGGTGAACTCATCGCTGTTCCATCAATTTGTCTATATGTTATTGAAGACAAGATGGACGTTCATTGTACATTTCAGAACTAATTGTTTGAGACTAACCTTGAAAATTTCAATGTTGATCTGTTTTTCAAGTAGTCGTTGACATACAAAGTCAACAGTTTCAGTTAGTGGTACATCGGCGAACAAGGAAGCAGCATCTAGAGACATCATCCTTTTCCTATTTAAGTTCCTATGTTCCACTTACTTACTTACGCCTGTTACTCCTCGTGAAGGAGCATAGGCCGCTCAGCAACCCTGTCACAGGCAATCCTTTCCAGTTCCTTCCAGTTGTTATTCATCCTTTTCATATCTGCTTCTATTTCCTGACGTAATGTGTTCTTTGGCCTTCCTCTTTTCCGCTTCCTTTCAGGATCCCAAGTTAGGGCTTGCCTCGTGATGTAGTTTGATGATTTGCGTAATGTATGTCCCATCCATTTCCATCGTCTTTTCCTAATTTCTTCTTCAGCTGGAAGCTGGTTTGTTCCCTCCCAGAGAAGGCTGTTGTTGATGGTATCCAGCCAATGGACGTTGAGCATCTTGCGTAGAAAACTATTTATAAATACTTGTACCTCCTTAATGGTGGTTGTTGTAGTTCTCGAAGTTTCAGCTCCATACAGTAGAACTGCCTTGACGTTCGTATTGAAGATTCTGACCTTGATATTGTTTGAAAGTTGTTTTGAGTTCCATATGTTCTTCATTTGTGTCGTTGCTATCATTGGTGGGTGCATAACATTGGATAATATTCATTGTAATTCCCTCCTTCTTTGTTTTGAATGATACTTTAATGATTCTGAATCCGTGAGATTTCCATCCTACAAGTGCATTTCTTGCTACTTCGAACAGCATTAGAGCAACTCCCTGAGTGTGTGGAGCATTTTCCTCTTCGTGGCCGGAGTATAGCAGCATCTCTCCCGTATTTAGCCTTTGTTTTCCAGCTTGTGTCCAATGGGTTTCACTGATTCCCAGTACTACCAAGTTGTATCTCCTCATTTCCTTTGCTATTTGACTAGTCTTCCCGGTCTCCCACATTGTCCGGACGTTCCATGTACCTATAAAAATTGTTGCTCTGGTTGTTAGAAGGGGCATCGGCCTCGTGGCTTCCGAAGGAACTCGGCTTTCACAATGAGGCGTCATAATTGTTCTAAATGAAGACCTAAATCCCAGGGCAGAGTTGAAATGGTTTGAATTATTTTTTCTGGTTAGCGTTTTTTAGCGAGTTAGTTTTCTACGGGATGGGGTCGCTAACTCCATGCCCAACCCTCCTCCTTTACCCGGGCTTGGGAACGGTAATAACTCTAGAAAAGCTGCAGGCGGAGTTTCGTATGTTCCACCTTGGAAATGAAATCGAAAACGTCTTTAACGCTTCTGTTTAAGGGATCAAGAACTCGAACTAACCGCTCTGCTGTTTTATGGTAGGTAGAATTATACATATCTCAAACTAGAGGAAGAGGAAGTCCTATCTTGTGGACTTTGGGTGAACCATAGAATTGTGGTGTGTTCGATCCAGTGGGGGTAAGTGAAAATCGTGAATGGTTGGAGTAAGTATTCCTTTATTTTTTAATTCTTTAAGCGAATTAGTCAGTGGTTTCTCTGCTGTCATATTTGTATCCTTAACGTCGTTGAGTTTTTGAAATTTGGTCGAATCATTCATTAAATGAGCTCATTTTATCGATGTAGTCATCTTTGTTTATTAGAACTAGCCCTCCTCTGTCCAGCTTGCTTATGATCAGAAAGTTATCTTTTCTAAGCATATATAAAGCATTTCGATGTTGTTTGGTACGTGGTGATTTCGTGGTATATTTACCAGTTTTGCATTGTTAGCAGATGTCAGCCTACTTGGTTTTAAATCTAGGAAGTTCATCAAGTGAGGTCGGGACCAAATATGTTTGTGAATATAAATTCTCAAACTGTATATCGGTATCTAGTTAACTTTTTCTATTTCCATAGTCACAGAATCCGTTCCACTGTTATCACTGGCTCATAAACTACTTTGATTGGTCTAATAATTTCGTATATTTATATAAATATTACTGTATATTAAAGTCTGATGAGGATGTAATGGAAAACAATATTGTTCGGTTATATGTGTTGTTTATTATTTATTTTAATGATGATACTCTAAATCGTCATTTTTGCCTATTTCCAACTTATTTTTTATAATACCTTTCCATGTGTTGGTGGGGTTCTAATCTCTGTAATCATTCAGGACGCAGAGGTATGCTTTATTTCTTTTTTTCAGTGTGTGAAAAAGGTGTAACTAGTTTAACATACATTGTGTAGATTATATGCTTTTTTGTTAATTTTCATAATTTCTACTAACTACATACACTTTAGTCTCTCTTCTTTGTATCCGTAATATAATATACCATCAATATCTCACTTATTTTGAATAACTCAGTATTTCTAATGTTTAGAAATATAGTAATTTGTCCTAAACATATAAATATGGAGTTTTTAAAAAAATATTGTATGTATTTTTACTGAATTTCTGTCTTTTTTTTTATTACAAAAAAGTCATTTATATACAAAGTAACAGTCAGATTCGTTTGTAAAAGGTTGTAAAATATAGTGAGTAGTCAAATGTACGCCTATATGACTTAATAGTTGTAGATATTTATTTTCTGTTCAACATTTCAATATTTGTTTAAAAGTTCTCTTCAACCTGCTTGATTTAGACAATCGGGTGCGTTACAACTCGTTGAGTATCCTGAAATATTACGTTGTTTAGTATCTATGGATTTAAAAGTGTCATTATTTGTAAGAGGATGCATTAAACTCTGATCATGCTCTAATACGAGCACGCATTTGTTTGCGCCTCACTGGACGCAGAAAAATCCACATTAAGAAGACCGATTGGAGTTGAGCTCAGTGACGAGAAAGCCAAAAGTAGATTCCAGGAACAACTGAGGTCACACCTAGACAGTTCTGAAAATGAAGCTGACCCGGACGTTGCTTGGAATTTTATACAAACAGTTGTATAAACAGCAGCGACATCTATTAGTGATGTGAACCAAAAGGTCACGAATAACCAGTGGATTTCCACTAAGTTTATTGCACTGATAGATTCTCGTAAACTAACCCCATCTGACTCCAAAAACGATAAAGTGCAATAGCAAATGAGATCTAGGTTAACCAAAAGTCTAAGGAACGACCCTGAGCGGTGGTGAGCGACGAAAGCAAAAGGGATGGGAAAGGCAGCGGCTGTATGTACCACCAGACAGCTTATCACGCTAATAAAAGAAACTGGAGTTATGAAGTTAAGTGTAAGCGAGACTATCTCGGAAAAAGACGACATTTATTTGTTCTCAGCCCAGACATTTAAAACGATGGACGATGCACTTTAAGGAGCAGTTCAGCTACTCCACAACTACCCACCATTCCCAAACAGCCTGGACGGAACACTGAAGTAGGCCATAGCTAATCTGAAACGAGGATGAGCAGCTGGTCCATATGACAACTTCACTTATCTTGGAAGTCTGATCAGCCCTAAGTGGTCGGTGTCTGACGAATCTCAGCATGGATTCGAAAACCTCGTTTGACTTTTGCCAACTGACGTCACCTATGGCGAGGGCGAGATATCGGTCTATCAATTAAGGGACGAGTATACTGCACAGCATTTCTTTCTGTTCTACTTTACGGCTGCGAAACGTGGCCATGAAGAGTAGAAAACAGCCGTAAGTTACTAGAATTTGACCATAAATTTCTTAGAAATATTGCTGGCATTTGCTGGGATCACCGGTTAAGTAATAGTGAGGTTAGGCGCATGGTATTAGGGAATGATGGTAAGTCAGTTGATGGATTGTGAATCTTCATCGACTGAGATAGTTGAGCCACGTGTTACGTATGCCTGATCGCCGATTGACTAGTGTTGGAGACGGTTGGAAGGAAGTGAGGGGTGGCCAAACCAAGATGTATCATCAGTGCTTGAAGTCACTGACTTCTGGTCTTAGCCATGTTAGTAGATGCAGACTACTTGGTTGGGGTCCACGCGACTATTGTAACGGATGGTTGGAGACGTGGTGACATGGCTCAGGTTCGATCACGATGGAGTTGGTGTATGTACTCTTTATTTTCCTCTAAATCGTGAGATTAAATTTAATTTATACCTTTCTACTAACTAATTTTTTCTCCCGTATGTCACATCCTTATACGCAACCTTTCTTTTATATATTACTACCATTGAAGTAAATACTTCTGTGAATTTGGTGTTTATCTTGGTGTGCTAATGATTTTTGGCAACTTGGACCGATGCATATATGTGCCTGGTCCTACTTGTAGCTGACGAACTGACTTGATGGATTATCGAGTTTTCAATGTGGACATCGCTAATCGAGCGTAGTTAAATCCAGCACACACTTCCTTAATTCCATTGTTAAACATAATCCATTTATTCCATAAGATATTTAGGAATACATTCGACAGGTAATTCCTTAAACAATGCAATAATTGATAATACCATTTACGGTTTATTGGACAACGATTTCCCATTGACCAGTAGTGATAGCGTGGTGTATACTGCTTATGCTGACAGATAAAAGTAATATTTAGCAGAAATCGGAAAGTAGAATGCCTGCTAGTGGAAGATTGAATGGAGGAGAACGGGGTTGAAAACAGAAAGCATTTGAAATAACAACGGAATTGTAAGAATTATGAAGTATGTAAATGAAAACTGATGGAAGATGTTCAAATGATGTATTTCATGTATGATATTCATATTTTCCGAAATCACTGTGTAATTTTGCATTTAACAATAAATTGGCTTTCTCTACTTAGGTTCTCGTTCACTACAGTAGTAATGGACATCATTGACATCTTTCATCTTTTGGAATTCAGAAATGATCAGTTGATATCGATAACACTTACACTAAAAACAACAACACATTTTAGCAAACTGATCGTATTGGTCACTTGTGGTTATTATTAATAACCAATTTTTCAATAATGTTTTCTCACAAAAATTAATTTTATTATATATTCGTTGGGACGTTTTTCTGGTGTTGTCTAACCATTTTGGTTATTTTTCTATTAACTGTACCATTAGATAAATTTTCAAATCAATCTAATTGATTAACAATAAGATTATTTTATAATAAAATCTTTAATTATGAATTCCCTTTTGCTGTAAATGTCATTTATTGTGACAAATTTATGAGATTACATTGAGTATTTTTTTAAAAAGTTGTCGTTATTAAGATCATATATTTAATCATATTTATTAGAGTGAACATCAACTCTGAGATGCAGGTACATCCAGCTGACGAGTCCCAAACAGGACGAAACGAGCGTCCTGGATTCCACTGCTAGCCTCTATCCATCTTTGTTTATTTACTAGATTGTTGATTTTATTTATATGATAAGAAATTTTATTAAGGTATTAGGTGATTTATACTTTTTATGGTTATTTATTATATATTATTTATAATATCGAGACAATGATTGAGAATGAAAGAGAACCTGGATTATGGTAGGACTTGAAGCAGAGGAACCTTCAAGCGATTGAAATACTTCGCTACTAATTAATTTATGAAATTCAGCTATCAACCGAGTCACATATTTATTCATAATCACAACATTCACTAATTTAAATCAAACTGGAAAGCAGATGATTCTTACATCTTGAATGATAATATGACAAGCTAGTTGATCTTAAGCTATCGATGTGAACTCTGTCATTGCTATCGTTTGCTTCGCTTCCGTACACCATCCATGTATGAAAAGATTTATCTTTTAACCAAGACAATCTAAAAAATGGTCTGATAACTGTTTTCTTAAACCATTTAGATGTAAGCAATTGCGGTCATAAACATCAATGGGGAGATTCAAACAAACAATACAAAAATGAATTAAAAATTCATCCCATTGCACAAGCTAAGGGCTATCTGGACTCAGTAGCTAAGTGGATAACCCGATTGCGTTTGAAGCACACGGTACTGAGTTCGAGTCCTAGAGTGAACATCAACTCTGGGATTCAAGTACATGCAAATGACGAGCCCCAGATAGGAAGAAACACGTGTCCTGCATTCCACTGCTAGCCACATTCATTTTTTAATTTTAATTATGATATATATAAAGTTCTCATTATATGGGGTTGTGGAGATTATTGGATTTCATTAAAATCGTTAACCTATCTAAGCTAGATCAACATTGGAAACCTTGAAGCACCGAACGTGGATTGGTTGAAGCTAAACATTAAAGTCGTTGGATGCCGGCTCAGTGGTCTAGGGGTTAAGCGTTCGCTCACGAGACCGAATTCAGGATTCCTGCACTCAGGATCGTGAATGCTCACTGCTGAGGAGTTCCATACTAGGAAAAACGGCCGTTCAATGTTTCCAGGTTTTCAATGTTGGTCTAACTTAGATTGACTCACGATTTCAATAATATAAACGAAGTTATTTCTTAAAAAATTTTTCGATCTCATATGATTGTCATTTTTCTACAAAGCATTTCATTTTGATTTATCAGTTGAATTGAAAATTCTCTTTAACTTTGTGACAGTCTTTTTTTCTGTCAAAAGAAACCGTTTTATTTGATGTTTGTTTCTGTGTTTTAAGATGTATATTCACAATAGGATTGAATATCAAGTTCTTGTGCTAGCCATATAATACTGTTCCTTTTTTCACCATTGAATTAACTGGCCTAAATTTAATGAGTACTTTTAATAATATGTGTAGCATTTCTCATGTATATTCAACTTAGTATTTTGGTAACCATAGAAATGAGTATAACCGGTTAATGTATACATTTTTGTACAAAGATAGAGAGATTTTATTCAAGTGAAGTTACATTCCGCATCAACCGTACTTCAATTGGATCTTTATACAAGAATTGTCTTCAAAATAAATTTCTATGCCTAAATACCTGCATTTTGATAGATAATTAATAACAAACCTATGAAACAAAACATTTAAGTGTTAATTATAAATTCATGTAAATTTCGAAATAATGTGTGGATTGTCTTTCTTATACACATAAGCTGGTTCTGGTCCAGAGTCATCTGCAACACGATCATCTATTGCTCCTGCCCTACCTAGTCGTAACAGACCAACAGTTCGAGGCTCTGGAATTACTGTTCTTGGTCAAGGAACTGGTGAAGGCCCATATTATCTTGCTCCACAAGATGGTAATCGTGGAAGAGATAAAACACCTCAAGGAAAAGTAAGAAGTTTTTACTCTTAAAATTAATCTGTTATATTATTGTGTGCGTATATCAAACATTTTTATGCCATGGTTTACTAAGATCTTACGATAATTTAGTTTATAAATTTTTCATTATTAGTTTTGAAGAAATCGCGTTTCATGTGAACTATTTTATTTTAGTGTTTAGTTTTTTTTATTATTAATGGCTTTATTCAATATCATATTTTGCTACAACATAGAAATTCTCAGCACAGGGTATTTCAACAAGTTTTTTACACAAAAACAGAAGAAAAGACAAAAGAAGGGAAAAAAAGGTTTAAAAAAATCTGAAAAAACTGTAGAGCTTTTCAAATTAGAAACATGTTAAGAATGCAGGTTATTGACTAGGTTAACTCTAACAACCTGTTCGTCACAGAGTATATTTGCTAGGTGAGGTATTATAGAACTTTTATGCTTTTGATTGCGTGCATGGATTTTAATGTAATTACGTCTCGTTCTACCAGAAGATACACAAGGAGAAATATAAGAGTGAAGGGGATGGTTAGTATCTGATAAAATAACACCTGACAGGAGTTTGCATAACTTTAGATGTCTATCCACAACCATATTACTTATGACCTCGAAAGATTCGCCACACACATTGCTATCTGCATTCAGCACTCTTCGCAATATAGCGAAGTCTTTTCTCAAAAGCCCGGGAAAGAATAATTGACAACAGTAAAGAATAATAGGTAATATGCAAGAATTGACAAATTGTAAGAGTAAATGACGAGTAATTCCAAGAGCATGCAATCTCTTTATGTAGTAGGTCAGACGGAAAATCTTCTTCGATAACAATAAAACGTGGGAAGACCAAGACAGATCAGAGGAAAAGGTGACACCAAGATAATTGACCTTCGACACTGTGTTTATGAAAGAGTCTCCAATGGCACAAGGATTATGGGATCTCAAAATGGTGTTTAGATGCCGTTCATGTCTCATGCTAAAATTAACAGCTTGACATTTATACGGATTAAGCGTAAGACCAATACCAACAGGCCAACAATCAATACGAGACAAAAACCCATTCATTTCTGTGGGATGTAAAGAGGAAGAGATAGGGATACATACAGTGAGATCATCCGTATATTTCACATATGTGTTTTCTGTGGAAGATGGCAGATCATGCAGAAAAAAGAGAAAAGAAGAGGTGAAAGAACAGCTCCTTGTGGTACACCTTCATGAGACAGTAGAGACTCTGAACACTTTCCTCCAAATACAGTGTACTGTTCCCTTCCAGAGAGGTAGGAACATAGCCAGTTGGTTACCCAGCTGTCAGTGTTGACGCTGATTAACTTGTTAATTAAACGTTGTCTTGGTATAGAATCAAAAGGTGAAGTATAGTCCAGAAGAGCGCATCGAATATACTTCTTACCCTTTTCTGAGTTGAACACTATATTATGATGCAGAACATCAACAGCATCTAAGGTGCTTCTTTTGCATCTGTAAGCAAACTGATATGGATCAATATGCTCGTTTATCGCAGGCTGAAGTGGAAGTGTCAATAATTTTTCTATGGTTTTAGGGAAGGGTGAAGTTATTGCAATAGGTCTAAATTTCACATTCTTATCACCAGATACTTTCTTGGGTACAGGAATTATCTTCATCTTTCTCCACACTTTTGGTATGAGATTAGATGAGGAGGATCTGTTAAAGAAAGTCGTGAATGGATAACATAGGACGTCAGCACATTTTTAAAAAAGGAGGTTTGGGATACCATCAGGTCGTAAACATCGGGATGAATTAAGTGACTGGAGACATCTTCGGACATCAGTTTCAGTGAAACTAGGAACACAGCTATTCTTTAAACCTGTGGATGAAGGTAGCATTACATCAGATGACTGACGTACAAAAGACTTATTTAAGTCGCAAACATTCAGCTGGTTATCGCTCCTTAAAGAGTTTCCACATACTTACATAACATCAGTAGTGATTTCCAGTGAGTCATCTGTAATTAATTCCCAGTTAGTCGTATGAAACATGTTTTTCAGATTTCGGATATTTTCTTCTGAGTAATTCCTATATTTGACTTTCTCGGTTTGATGTAAGAGTGTACTCTTCCCATGCTTTCCATGCACTTTAGGTAAAGCACGAATTATACAGTGATCCGAGCTAGACAATGTAGCACGTTTACGAGTCACATATATACCCACATCATTAATGAAAACGAAGTCTAAATGAGCATCCCAAGGGGTAGGAAAATCTACTACATTTTGGTGACCTAGTGACGTAAGGAAGCTACAGTCATATGAATTGAAATCACCACATACAAGTGAAAGTGAATCACTGAAGGCAGTAACAGAGAACTCAGTGAATTCATCAGCGAAAACAGATAGCGCAGATGATGTGCAGTCTGGAGTCACGTAGATATTGGTAACATAAACATATTTGTATTTATTCAGGTGTTATGGACGACATCTTAGAGTTAGACAGTCGATAAATTCATTTGAAAACTTGAAACACGCAAACGAAGATCGACACCAGTTCACGTTTACAAACGTAGCTACACCGTCGCTACACTTCGTTTTATTGTTTGATCGATCTTGACGATAAATTTTGCAATCACGTAGTAATGCTAGGCAGTCGTCCTGTGAATCATTTGTCCAAGATTCTTGAATTGTGACGACACTACAATTACGATGCGTATTTCGACTTAGTAGGAATTGAAGATAGTCTAGTTTGTTGATTAGTAATCGGCAGTTAGAATTTAGCAGCTCGAGAATCGACATACGATTGATGTTCATTCTCTTTAACGCATGTTGCTAACCACCACGATGTCTTTTATAGTACTTTTTTGTAACTTGTGCAGCGAAAGATTGTAGGCTTTTCATAAACGCGCCTTTATAGGTTATGCGATTAATGGACATAATGAGAGGTTAAAACAAAATGAAAAACAGATAACTTCTTGAAATAATTAGATAACAGGAACAGGTAACCCAGATATTCAAGCAGGCCGCCGCTTTGTCAAATCTTCACTTCAGAACTGGAAAAAGCTCTATCCTCTCAGTTATCAGTGAAATGCATTCTGGAAACAGCTCTGATGGATGTAAGTAATGGCGGTGTGGATCTGTTGCCTAGAGAAAGACTTATCGACCTTGAGTATGCGGATGATATTGTCTTACTGTGCGTTAATACCCAAACCAGGCAATCCGCACTTAGTCAGTTGGCAATCAATGTCCGTTGGTACGATATGTGCTTTTCACTTTTCAAGTGCAAAGTACTTTTACAAGACCGGCATGAATCTAATCCTGTACTCACCCTGGATGGTGACCAGATATAAGTTGTCGAGAAGTTCGTGTATTTGGGTAGCTACATAAGTGCTGGCGGGGGTGTGAGTGATGAGATTAATGCACGCATAGTGAAAGCCAGAGTGGCTTATGCCAATCTGGGCCATCTTTGGCCGCTTTGTGATGTTAGTCTGGCTGTAAAAGGTCGGATCTACAACGCGTCGGTGAGAGCAGTTTTGCTCTATGCTTGTGAAACCTGGCATCTCCGAGTTGAGGACGTTAGACGACTCTCTGTGTTCGATCATCGTTGTCTCCGAAGGATTGCTGACATCCATTGGCAACACTATGTTAGTAACTGAAAGAATTCTTTCTGATTGTACCTTTTTTCCCCCACTATTATCACTATTTCATTGCCATGCACTAATTTGTGGTCGTTATTTTTCCTTTTTTTCTTTCTACACGCACCTTACTCTCCTTTTCTCTTCCCATTGTCATTATTATTGTGTGGCACATATGTATTTGGTGCTTCCTTGTACCAATATTTATGTGTTCAAATAAATAAATAAATAAAACTAGTTATATCTCCATATTTTCTCCGTTTTATTAAACTAATTGTTTACACAGATGAGTCTTAGATTTTCGCGTCAATATTTTGTACGTGAAAGTCACTATAGCGTTCTGTTTTTACCTAATAACCAGTCTACATCTTAACTGCTTTTGTGTTAAATAGTACAATAAATCCAGTGTATTCATAGTCAATCAATATTACAAACTAACAACGAAGTCTTTGTATTGTCTATAGCCATAATGCGATAAAATATGTACAATATTGATGAAAATTAAGTAGCTCCGGTCCCAATACTTTATAAATCCTCTCGTTCCATAAGTCGTTCATTGCATTACCGATCCTTATTCAATAAAAAACAACAGTCGAATTTAAGACAATTTATCCTTTTTGTTCAAAGTCAGATAACACGTTAAATATTAAATAAAAATTATTTTAGTTATTCATCGCAAACATGGTATCATACATGTAAGCATGGATTTTATAAATAAATGGTAATACATTCACCAGTTCCATAATTCTAATGGCTTATGAAAAAGCAACCAAGACAATGTGGCCTGTACAACAACAATTTCACTACTATCAATATAGCATAGATAGTTAAATTCACTAGCCATTTAGTCATATTTGTATATCTGGGGATAGTTGTCACCACGTACACTGGTATCAATTAAAGAACTAAGGAAAACCATTTAGAAGTGAATGATCATTTAATCCTAGTCTGAAAATTGAAAATATGATCATTAATTCTTGTGGTATCCACGATGCTATTGACCAAGTTTCGATGGTCCAGCCTCCAGCTTCAATCAGTTTGTGATATAATGCGATCTTTGTGAAATATCATTGCTGGGTAATTTAATCACTCCCAAATTTATTGACTTTGTTCTTCATAGTTTATAAATAAATCTTCGCGATTCGATTTTGGTGCTACTTATTGGTTGAGGTTATTATTATTATTATTGAGATGTTTGTGGTGTATTATACCGCCATTCCGTCGAGATAAAAAATGTGCGCCTTTGGAGTCTGTTTTGATATTCTAAAAGTATCTTCTTCACTGTGAAACTTAAAATTTCTGTGTTCATTCTTATGTGAAATCGAAGGTATGGATCGTTGGGAAATTTCAAACTAAAATAAAATGATTGTCTACTACTGCCAAATTTTGATTGATTCTTCAGTCGATATAAGTTCATGAAAGGAAATATCTTCATAAAGAGAACACTTCTCCCTAACTATTTTATTTAACTTTACATAGATAATTCGGTGATATATATATCGAAATCAATTTAATATCTATGATATTAGAAAAAATATCATTAAAATATTATCAAAACCTCAATAAGTAAGTAAAACTTACTAATGCAACAATTATTTTATTTACCAATGTTCACCACAATTACCATCTATTGTCTTATATCCTGTATTACATTTCTTTTAAACGTATACTTTTCGTATATACACAGTCATCTAATAATCCACCTGGTTCATCAAACGGTCCTCGTGAATGGACTAATCCAACACATTGGTCAAATAATACAAGCAACAAACAACAACCTTTATCTGGAGCAACTTCATCATCACCATCATCACAACACTCAACAGGTGATTTCAGTCCATTCTATCCACAACATACCGGAGCTGGTGTTATACCTTTCAATAATTATGATGATCCAGGCTATGGTCTAGACGATATAGATGATGAAATGACGAAAACTACCGTCGATGAATACATTGAAGATGAATTAGATGCATCCAGTTCATCACCATCTAGTGACCAAAATAACTTACCTAAACTGCCTTCAGTAAAACCACGTGATTTTATGCATATTGATTCTAATAAATACCCTACAGATAATCATCAAAATAATCTTAACACTAACTTTTATAGTTCTAATCATCAACAACAGTATATATCAAACAATTATCGACCATCAGTACCAACAAGACAGGATGGATTTAATGTAGATGAACAAAGATCAACTGCATATCGATTTGATCAACGTGGAGTGTATATGAATGCTGAGATGGAATATGGTGAACCACCTCTTGAAGATTATGTTATTGTAAATTCAGATGGTTCAGGTAAACCTATCTCACAATATTCATGTGTATTAGTTAACAGCCAATTATACCTAAAAGAAATAACTGTCGTTTATATAAATTTAGTTTTATAAGTTGTAAGTTTGTTTTTGTATCTGGTGTACGTCTGGGGTACGTTAGTTATCCTCAATCACATTGGCTGGATTAGGAATAAGTAATTTATAGAGTTATGTCCTTTCATACTTACATTTTCAATCTTTTCACTGTGAGTGTTACTACAATTATTTAAACTCTTTTGGTATTCATCTTGTTAGTTTCATTTCGTGTCGATTGAGCTTGGTTTGACTCACACGAAAAGTTTTATGTTTATCAAAACACTGAATTTGTCAATTCAATATTTTTCTTTATCTTTCCACAGAAATGACTAACGATTGTAAATTGAATATTGTGTATACTATATGGTGTCTTTATGAAACTTGTCTTTTCTTTCATGAATTTTTTGATTTTGCAACGATATTTGCCTTTCACTAACGTTTAGTATTTCGAAATTTATGAAAATTAGTTTTCATAATGGATTGACATCAGTCGATAGGTAAATCTTTAATAGTTAAGTAGCTTTATTTAAAATTCATTTAGACTCGAGGGCCTACTTCAATGTTCCATTCAGGGTGTTTGGAAATGGTGGGTAGCTGTAGAGTAACTGAAGGCCAGCTAAATTGCATATATGTGCCTGTTCCTACGTTGTAACCGACTGAATTAAGTAGCTATATACACCTGCTTCGTCCCAGTATGTGTCTCCTCAGTAGGGTTTTTTCATGATGATTTTAGAAATTGAATTTCAGCACCTTAAAGTACAGTTAAGTAACAATTTTTTCCTCGAATGAAACAAAATAACGGTTTTAAAGAACACAGAAGCTACTCAAAAATGAATTGATAGATAGGCAGATGCTGGATGTATGGAGTCTACTAATAGTATTACTACTAATATTCAATTTCTTGAAGAATTTTTATGTTCTCATATTCTTACACTGTATTTCATTAGCTTCTTTTTCCGTTCCTTTTATGTATTTTTGTTGTTGCCGACTGTGCGGTTAAGAAGTTCAACGTATAGATCGTGAACGATTCCGTCAACAAAATCAATCGACTGACCCACTGTAGGTCAATTTCAATGAATATTTTTTTCATTAATATTTGTAATTATAGCTATTTTATTGATGATATGCTAAAATAATTTATTTTTCGGTAGAAGTGAGTACTAATAATGATTATAATGACAGGAACAATATTTTTGTAATGAACTGTGGTTATATTTGTTATGTAAGGGCTAATTATAATTTCTAGCTGCCTAATTCCTGGGAGTCAAAGCCATATACTAGTAAATAACTAACCGGTTAAAAATTTTCTCATTGTACTTGAATAAGATAGATTTACCATCAGTTACTTATTTTTAATACTTTTCTCTTATTTTACCCAGTTCACATATGAGTAACGTTGGCCGAATTGTTCGTAATCCTGGAGCATATCTTACAAATAATAATAATAATCTTCAACGTAGAGGTATGACAGATATTGGTCCACTCCCAGATGTAACTATTGGTACAAATACAACAGATACGCGATATCATCAATTACTGAATGATAATCATCGCAACTCTTCACCCACTCTCTTAAATACAAACGAAATTCCACATGGTGTAAATAATAAATTAGCTGATCAGTACTTAAATCAGGTAGGTACATGATAATATGCATTTCTCTCCTTTGATTACTTATTTTAATAGGAAACTTTTCTAAAAGTTGTTTTGTTCAGTCATTTAAAAGAGACTTTCATGAACTGACATCAACTGGTAACTTGTAACCACAAAAATACCGTTTATATTGTGTGCATTATTATCATGTGAATAGAGCTTCAAGATTATTTATCTAAGTCATCTAATAACTGCATTCAAAATGTGTAGTTTGAAGCACATGCTATTACTACGATAAGTACCGTTAGTAAATTGTAATAAATGTCGCTTTACGTAACTAATCACTAGTTTCTGTTCGAGTTCATCCTGCACTTTGCTCTAGTTCGAAAATCTTTTTGTGTATAACTCATTTATCTACTTATATTGTGTCAAGTAGTTTATATACTTTACTTGATTTGTAATATTTGTGTGCGGATTTATTTACTAAAGTTTACTTAGGGTTACTTATAGACCCTATGTATAAAGGTAACAAATTTTATACTTTTATGGAAGTGTTTTATTGTGTAAAAGTTTCCTGTGTTTATCGAAGCTGACAGTAATTAACCTTACTACATATATTCAGTTGAAATCATTTGTGAATCATGTTTGTGTTCAAACAATATACATTCACCTTTTACTGTTGCTTTTCCTTTGATATCAACGTAATTCTGTCGTTCACGTGGGATGTATTCTATTGTTTTCAAAATCCATAACTTCATGCTTCCACTGGTTGTTCACTTAGCTAGTGACTACGGATAGCCACTGATTTATTAAACTGGTGTTGTATTTATATCGTTATTAGTAAGGGTATGAATTATCCCAACTAATCAAAATACAGTCCAAAATAGCAACAACAGAATAATTCATTCCCTTAATAATATTTATGTCCAGATGTGCTTGTTGCCTTGACAAAGTTTTTGTTTTTACCCTTTAGCTGCCAGTCAATTCTCGAAATTCTCCAACTAGTCACAAGTATAATACTCAACCTATATCAGAACCAAACAAGGGATCAACCGATTATACAAGTTAGTATTTATTTATTTGTTTATTTATTATCCTCTGTCAACTAATATTTGTATTAATTATGATTAATAGTTAATTTCTATCGGTGATTAAAATTATTTTATGTTTGCGTTTTTCTTGTTGTTCAATGAATGCTTCAGTAAAATTTGTGATTAATTGGTTTTTACTATACTATCTTTGTATGAATACTATTTTATCATGTTCTGTACAAAAACTGCCATGGTCTTGAAAAACTCAGCAAGAGATTAGTGAAGTGAATGTTTTTTTTTTAAAGAATAGTTACAAATGTTCTTTTCTTTCTCTCTCTGGCTTACTTGCATTTTCTTTGATGTTATTTCGGTTAACCAAATGTCACAAAAAATCAATTTTTTTCTTTCCCGCTCTCTCCCTCCCTCTGATACTGTTCGTCCACATGACATTGATCCTGTAAAATGCTATTTTATTATTTTGAAATATCAGTTTACTTCATTATCTTTTATGCAGATAAAATGGATAATTTTCATTAAAAAATAACTCTGTTTACCATACAAATAATTTTAGCTTTAATGATAAGTATTACTCTACTAACAGTAACTGTTTTTAACCTTTTTTAATGTTTATAGAGAAAATCTGGTTGATCACATTAGATTTTTTATCCTTTTATTGTTTCTCAGGCTTGATAGATTCGTTTAAGCAGTTGTTATACTGGAATAAACTGTTAAATAGTAAATGTCTAGTTCCAATAGATATTTTGGGAAGTACAGTAGTGATTCGTGTGTTCAAATTATTGGATCTATTAATTTGTTGTCATTAAGATCCAATAAATTTTAATAGTTCTCTATGTATTACTCTTTGAATTTTATATGAGTTATTGAATGTTAGGCTCTAACTCATGATAGATTAACCAAGAAACAGGTTAATCGTTATCGATCTTAACTCATTTTAGCTTAAGATTTCAACAAGAAATTTTAATTTCGAAAAATTTATGTCGTTATTATAGGCTACTTTGAATGAAAATATTTCTCTGTGACGTAGGTGTTTTCAAGGCAAATCACCAAAGCTTTACTCCTTATTTCGATTAATAAAACCTAATACTGTCACCTACTTTGTTAGTGATAAAAAACTTACCAGGTCATTTCTATTTTTCATCTGCAAAGAAGATATAATGAACTGACTTTAAGTATTTTTTTATCATCTAAATTTTGAACAATCTATTTAATTATACTGTAGCAGTTAGTTTCGCATGTTGTAGTTTAACATTAACCAATATAACATGTTTAACAATCACAAAAGAGATGTTGATAAGCTTTCAGTCAAATATGCACAAAATACCATATATTAGATTTACGGTGACATAATTATTCCACAAGCCAATAGATATCGAGCATGAGACGAAGATCTCTAATGGTGACAGGTAATGGCTGAACAATATCACGAATTGATTGAACTTAAAATTGACAACCGTTGGACGTCAACTCACTTGTTCAAAAGTTATGTAGGCACTCATCATGGGGTCTGAAGGTCCTGAGTTCAATCACCTAGTGGGGTCATAAACTTACATTGATACGGAGTCTGATACTAAGATAAAATTGCTGTCAAATGCTTCTTAGTTTTCATTAGTTGTCTAACTGAAGTCATTCTATGATTTTAAATTGTAGATTGTTATATGATTATCCTATTTTTATTTGCTATTCTAAATTGTTACTAACTGATTATAATATTGTTAACTTGACTCACTACCATTTATTTCATATTGATTTTATATTTACTCGTAAAATTCATATTTTAATATAGAGCTTTGATAATTAACCGACTGAAAACAAATGTTTTCCTCTCAATTTCTTTGTTTTAACATATTTTAGTTAAATTTTATTAAGAAACAGATTAAAACTTTTATTGCTTTCGTGTTTCATTGGATGTACAAATAAGAGTTACATATATAACAAAATAGATGTTTTGCATTCCACTGTTAGTTACCACCCAATTTAAGAGAAACTGATTTCAAACAAATACTAAGATATTCGTATGAATAGTAATAAGTTCAATCATATAATGTTGGCAAATAGTATGTGTATGTAATGCTATTTGAGATGGTAGAGAGGATTTGTAGCCCAGGTGGATGATTTAGGTGGAGTTTTGTTTTCTGAGCTGGATGGTTTGGTCACGGAGCTTCCATTGTTCTTCTGAAAAACATCATCACAAACGTCAGGTAGAAGTGAAGTTTTCGAATTTCTCCATTTACGACTCACAGCTAGTCCTGTTATGGTTGACCCTTAACCTGTCGTTGTCTGCTTCTTTATTTTGATTGTATCTCTTTTTGATCTGATTCTCAGTCCTATATTTGTCCATGATTTTTCTGATTGGTTGGTAGATTAGATCGATTTCGATGTGTTTGCTGATTACTGATTGACCTGAATATCAAGCTTCTAAAAATTCCCTGGTGCTTTTAGTATTACTTCCATCCAAGATTTTAACATTTTTCCAGTTGAATGTATGTCCACAGTTGTCCAGATGCATTGATATAAGTAAGGATATATCATGGTGTTTGACTGCTAATTGGTGTTCGTGCAGGTGAAGATGAAGGGGTCGTTTGCTTTGTCCAATGTGGTGGTTTTTGCAGTTGGATTAATTTATTTTGTAGATGAGGTCTGGTTTTTCTTCTTTTGTTATTTCCTCCTTTGGTTTGCATAGGATTGATTGAAGTGATTTCTGGTTTGTGTGCTACACCAATTCCAAACGGCCTCAATAATCTCGTAATTTCTGATACGTCTTATATGTATATGATCCGTTTTTTGGTTTCTATACTACGTTTTTATAAAATTATTTTGTAACGAAAGTTAGTTTATTCATTTTGAAAATATTTTGACGATTATTTCTCCATGGCTTTTGTCGAAAATTCTTTTGTTAGAAGATAGATCTCATGGAACTCAAATTAATGAAGGGAACTTGTCATCTCTTCCTCATCACAATACTGAACCGAAAATATCCTATATGGAACCTGTGATGAGTAATTTAAATTTGAGTAAAACTGGAACTACCTTACAACAAATTACTTATCAAACTAACAATAGACAATTTATTCATCCTTCTGGTTTACAAACTATCGCTGTTCAAGGTGTAGATGGTGTTTATCCTGTTATTGGTAAGCTTTCATTTTTGTGCAAAACCTCATGAATTAAATTAACCTACTTTAATCTGGTGTGATCAAAATAATGTACAACGATATTTATCACGTTTTTTGTAAAGTTATTAAAGCACCAGCCCATAATCACTGAAGTATTTCTAAATAATATTCTCAATCACTAAGCTTAAATGGAATAAATATTTAGTCTTATCGGTCATCATACAGTCTTTTATTATCATTGCTGTTATCATCATCATTATCATCCCTACCGTTTTGAATATTTGGAATATTTCCATGTGTACACTAATTGAATAGCAGACCATAATAATAATTCGTGGATTCGTAGACCATAATTTTTGTTTATTATTACTGTCTGGAAACAACATTATCCATGCTGGTGCTTTTTCGAAATTCCTAAAACACTTTAATAACGGATCGGTTTACATGTTTTGTTTACTATTGCATTATAAGTAACACTATTATGATAGAATTAATTATAATTCAGGGCTATTCACTTGAAATATACCTGAGTTGATTTCTAATTCACGATTTTGTGAATAAAAATTATGCGTCTGTTACACTTAGTCATTGAATTACAATCAACAAAGTGAAACATATAGAAGAAGAAAAGTAAAAAGAACAACATTTTGAAATACATATATCAATCAGGCTTAACGCTTATGACTAGGTAAAACAACCTGTTATTTTGGTTAGCTGTGTATTTTTTTTACTATTTTGTGATGAAGTATATTTATCTTGTATATCTGTAAGAACATTTATAAGGTGTGTCAGACCAATTAGATATGAATCACTTCATGACTCCCATTTGTAAAACATTTAATTTATAAATCACTAGCGATTCATTTAAACCTAACTTTATTCTCGGTTTTCATTCAATGTCGTTTGTTATCTATGCATTCTCAAACCTTTTTCTCAACCACTGGATAGATGAAACTAGTGAACATACCTGAGCCCTATTTCTTCTAATGGTATTTTGTGTTATTTACATGACCTCGGTTATCTACCACAAACTTCCTAGTAATGTTTAAACTTAATGACTATTATAAACGATTCTCGCCCACTTCTTATTTCGGTTTTCCAATTTCACACCCTTCTATCACTTTACGATTACATTTCCTTATCTGTGTGGTGTGTTCCACTGCACCAGTATTCGCGTACATTAAATAAAGTAACCATTAAAATTAATATTGTTTGGGATACTAAATCCCGTATCATTGGTAAACACAAACAGTTTTTGTAGAAAATTGCCGTCAATCATTTACTGATAAATATGGTATGTGTATTTTGTTCCAATAAAATTTTATGCTTGAATATATTGTTGTTAGGAATGTTATATCCCTAATACTCACTATGTAAATGTCTCATTTTTGTAATCCTATTTTTAAAAAAAGTTTAATTTCTTGTTTTCGTTCCGAAAACACCCATTTTCACCTTCATGTCACTTGGGAGGATCTTAAATGCTATTGGCTTGCTGCCTCTTTTAATATGCTATTTTTTAAAGTTTTACAAGGACATTTTTATGTTGTATATATACGCTTGAGTTGTGCTTATTGTTTTTCGTGCTTCTGACTGCTTGTGGAATATATTTCCCTCTTCTGAACTTGGACTTCTCTCTCTAGTTAACGGAACTGGGACGCGTCGGATTAGTTAGCTGAATTGGTTATTGTGTCACCGAGTCTACGTTCGTAGTCTCTTCAAACATAGCATAAGTAAAATCAACACATATAATTTTTTAAATAAACAGACTTTTAGAACTGAAACCTCTCTAGTAATGCAATATTTCTCTTTCCTGTATTAGTAGGAAAACTTCTATACACGCCCGCAGCAGCAGTCTGTTCATCGAAATACAAATATCTCAATTTTATTCTTTTATCGATTAGATAAACACTTTCTCGATTGTTAAAATAAAAGAATACTGATCTATGAAACGATATGGAATGGTACAATGTGACTGAGTGTCGAGTGCTCATAAAATAGCTTTTTTTTAGTCAATTGTGATCTAAAACATAAGCACTAGCTAAAGGAATAGGTTTTTACTATGTAGTAAAATGATATGCCTATATACAAAATATGAACATAAAATAAACATTATAAATTATTACTGATAAGTCTTGCTGATTGAACGCTATATACGTCTCGTAAGCTATTTTGTAACCCCCAAACTAGAACTATACAGCGACTTGAACACGAGAGAGAAGACTCAAAGTATACGAGAAGTAGTTTACTCCAAAGTTCATTTTAATGCAGAAAATACAGGGTTTTTATAATATTTTAAATGTCCTTGGGTTGCTAGAAGATTTTGGAATGCTACTAAACATAGTAGCAGTGTAGCAGCCAGCCAATGAGAGCCTCTGCATGTGACGTTTCGCTTACTTGATATTTTTGGCTAAGACTCCAAGTGAACGCTGATTGGACGAAACGCTTCTTAGTGATTCCTGATGCTTGCTTGTCTTTTGCAAGCAATTTTCTGGATCACTCCAACAGTTACTGGTGTACAGAGAAAATTAGTCTGTAGGACACTTACTCTTCAATCAATTAGGACCTGATTGTCAGTCTTAATTCTTGGACGTCATATCATACTCCCAGAAAAATTTAATATATATTGGTTAACATTCAGTCATTCTGTTCACGTCTTCAGATCATGGTATACCTGTTTCAATTTAATCTATAAACAGCTTGGTTAACCCTTGCACAGCAGGTGTCATTTCCTAGTGCATGCACAATTCTTAGTTCGTACACACGCTTTAAATATATTAGCAGAAATGCAGAGTCTTATGACCATTCTAAGCAACAATACAAGCATGTTCGGGATGCGATTCTCCCCCTCGAAATGTAAAATGTTGCTTCAGGATTGGGTTACATTGACACCCGAACTAGTGATAAGGAGTGAAGTAATTGAGCGTGTCGATCGCTTCACTTATCTTGTAAGTCTCATCAGCCCTTGTGGTCTGGTGTGTGACGAAATCTCAGCTCGACTAGCTTTTACCAACTTGCGTCATTTATGGTGTAGGCGAGATACCCGTCTATCAACCAAAGGACGCGTTTACTGCGCAGCAGTTCGTTCCGTCCTACTTTATGATAGTGAAACATGGCCGGTAAGAGTAGAGGATATCTGTAGGTTACTAGTATTCCATCATAGGTGTCTTCGAAACATTGCTTGTGTATCCTGTGACCACCGAGTAATACAGTTGTTAGGAAACGGGTACTAGGTAAGGATGGCAAATCAATCGATGGAGTAATGAAACTTTATCAGTTGATATAGCTGGGACATGTGTTACGTATGTCCAACCACCGACTGCCTCGACGTGCGATGTTCAGTGGTATAGGAGTAGGTTGGAGGAAAGTTAGGGGCGGCCAGACCAAAACATGGCACAAGTCCATGAAGTCACTGACAAGTGGACTGAGTCATGTTGGTAGGTGTAGACTACCTGGTTGGGGACCGCGAGATGATAGCAACCTATGGTTAGAGACCCTGAATGACATGGCTCAAAATCGTTTGCAATGACGCAGGTGCATACACTCTTTGTGTTCTCTCAAATTTTGATCTCCTTAGTCCTCCTTGTCTTTTTTTTCATCTTTCCAAATTTACTTCACTGGATTATACTCTTTAAATAACATCTCCAAACACTAATTTTCCCGATTACTGCTTATACTCTTATTACCTCTACCACTATGGGATTTGAATCGACCACTGCATCTCTGTGGTAATGTGGTGTATCAATTTGAACTGATGTACGTACGTACGAAGTCCTACGTTGTTACTGACTGACTGGACTGACAGCAGCACAACGGTACATTCTTTGCCAAACCAAGAATTTTTTATCACTTGCTCTTTTCTCATTCTGAGTGCTTTCCGTATTGTTCAAATTTATCTTCTATTGAGTTTCAATCCAAGGGCTTCAAAATGCATTAAGCTTCCAAAGATTGTAAAACCCTGTCAATGGAACTTTTTAAACTAAAGATTTCTGTTATGGTTAATTCTTTTCCTAAATTTATATATATTTATAGCTATAGCTACTGGACCCTTTTTTGTGCGTATATCTGTCGTTCAATAAATTCTTTTAGAATCTCCTATCTTTTAGATTTATAGACAGGATTTCTTTTGGTTATTTGTTTATTTAGTCATTGTGTTTATTCTTTCTTCTTAGCTACAGGTAGAAATTTTGAGAATGATTTAACATCCGGTGGTTTATGGGAAGCTGCAGAGTTTTCAGATGAAATTTTAATGGAGGTTAGCAGTTCATTCGATAGATTTTTTTTCAATAATCCATTTGTTATATGCTTATAAATTCAACCTTTTTAGAATAAAAATGACTGAAACACATTTTCCTCTAATAATTTTTTATTTTGAAAAAAGAAAGAACAAACATTCTGCTAGAATCTTTGTTCTTGTTCTTTTCAAAATGATAAAGGGAACTGTGTGTATGATATTCTTATGTTGTTTTATAAACTTCTTCGAAATGCAATAAAAATCTATTTTTTACGGTTTACATCACTTACTAACTTTAGACAGTCATTCGAAACCAAAAGCTTCGTAAGGTAATTCCTGCAATTATTTTTATTGAAAGCCTGTGAACAGAAGAGTCTATCCATATCCATGATGAAGCAAATATCTCCGGTGGGAACAGTTGATGATCGAGTAATATCGCAAATTATCTGAAGTTATGAAATTGAAGAATTGGATACCAACTTAGTTGTCATAACTATGAGCTCCCATTTAGACACCTAATGGTTCTGGGTTCTATCCCCAACGGAGTTGTGGTTGCTCATTGATGATAGTCTTATACTAGGATGAAGCAGATGCCCAGAGCTTCCTAGTTTTTAACGATTGCCTGACGAGGGTCAGTTCGTAGTGCAAACTTTGAAACTCAATAATCTCAAATCCCTGCTGCTAACAAATTATTAAATGTAATTGCTGCTAATAATTCAAAAATTTAGCTAGAATGTTTCTCACCAATTCTCGTTTAAAAGTTATTTGTGGTATGAAAATGAATTCTTGGGAGGTAAGAAGCACTTTGCACTAAGTGTGTGTATCGTTTTCTCCTAAAAAGATAAGTCAACTATCAATTGAATCGTAATCCAGAATTAAGATAACTCATTGCTATGTATTTCATTAGTCGAATCACCTTTTTTGAACTCTTATCATATATATATATATATATATATATATCATTAGGGGTTCCATTTCAACCCGTAACCATTACCACCTGGCATGTTTTACTGCATTACACTGACATTTTCATGATAAACAGCTGGAGTTAACTTTAGAGGCTTGTAGTAAAACTCACTCATTAAATTAAAAAGAAATGACTGAAACTAATTAATATCACGCACTTTTTCAACGTTTGGAACGTTACGTATAACTTTAGCCGGTAAAATTATCTTTCTTTGAAATAACAGAAAAAAACGAATGTAGTTGGGATTTTTGTCTTTAGACTTTCTTACATTATTGATAATTTTGTTTTTAGTCAACATTAGAATATCCATTCAGTAAATAAAAAACAGACATAAATTCCTTTCATTTTTATTGATTTCTATGAATTATTTAATTAAATAGTCCGAACATAATGAAGAAATTAAGAAAATTACAATGGTCCTAGAATTGTGTGAATTATTAGCAGAATTAGCTGAACGTCGAGCATCTGCACTAGCTGATTGTACTCCAACACGTGTTGTAAATACAGATAATGATAGTAAAACAACCACTACAGATCCTTCTGCTGCTAATAATGGTATATCACTAGTTAAGCTGGACAATCAACAAACTAAATGTTCGTCGAATACTAATAGTCTTGATAATAATCATTCTGTTGGCAGTTATAGTAATAATGGTAATAATGATGAACAGGATTCAAGCAAAAATTGTCAACAAGCATCATCCACTGCATTGAAATTCGTGTCTGAAGCTCAAAGGTATGTTATGTAATGAAATTCGAGTAAAGAGTTCTAACAACTAAGTGCATATATTTTTGTGAATTTTGCAATTAGTTTCAATTTTATTCACATTTGGTTAAGTTTTATGATTCAACTATTTCATGAAATTGGTATCTCTTTCGAAACTACATAAATACAGTGGTTTAGTATTATTACTTTGGACCGTAATACTCTTGGTAATTCTAATTTCTGTTGTAAATATTGTTTGTTTTTCATGTTTTCATCAACTTCTTTTTCTTTAGATGGCACTAGTTTTTTCATTTGTTTAAAGTCAGTCATAGTCATTTATAATCAACACAGAGCTAGCTCGGTATATATGTGGTCAACCAAAGTCGTCATACTATATAAGCACGATGAAATGAAACGATTTAGATGAATAATTAAAGAAATCAAAATAATATGGTAGGAATGATAATGCAAAAGTTTGAACATTGAGAATATGGTTCAAAAAGACATTGGAAAAGGTATTTATGAAGGAATACTAGAGTCGAAGATCGATAGGAAAATAAGGAGTAAACGGATATGGAAAATGGTGAGTAATTTGGAATCAATGTTACCTAATGTGTCCAACCAATCATCGGCGTTATCACACCAACTCCAATCATCTAGTCGACGTCTACCAACATGGCTGAAATCAACAGTCAATAACTTTTTATGGACTATTGCCACGTTTTGGTTTGTACATTCCAACTTGCTAAAAGAACGTTTTGTTAGTGATGGTGTTTAAAAAGATCCAAACTTCTTATTCTATTTTATTCAAAGCCTAAAATTTTCATGTCTGACCCTAAAATTTAAATTACACCTAAGCAGAATAATCTACAGATTACATCAAATAATAAATAATTATACAAGTCTAGCTGAATTAACTCTAAGAAATTCTTTTCCGATTAACCATTCTAAATCAACTTATTTGTCAATTATGCCATTCACAGTTGAAAACAGTATTTATTATGCACTTATTGTCATTAAACTATGCTAAATAAAAAGTGACACTCATGTTAATGATAACCCCAATTTAAGAACAATTTTTATAGTATTTGAAGTAATCATAAAAGCATCTAAAAAAGTGTCATGAATTAGTTCACTAAATGAATGCCTGAATAGATCTGATTTATTTCGTTCTTACCACTTTTCTTCTCTTTCCCAATGTAAATTAAAATGTATGGAGTATTTTTGTTGTTGTTAAATCGTCTAAAATTGCTTTGATTGCTGAGTTCTTAGTTGATACCGTGTTTAGAAATTTGTCTAAGTGGTTCAGATATTATATATGTCAACTACCTAATTCGATTTGAGTTAGGGTTATGGAAGAGTATAAATCTCAAAGTTTAGTCAAACAGAGCTGATCATAATCAGCATAGAGCCTCACACAAATATACTTCATACGAAGCTGCCATATCAAGATGAATAACAAAAGTGCCGAAATAATATAATGGTGGTAATAATAGTGGGAAAGATTAATATAGTTCAAAAAACCAAAAACAAAATGCGTATCTCCAACCACTGATCACGGTTATTGCACAGAATCCAGCTCATAAAATTGTGTGTGGCTACTCATATTATTGGTGTCAATTTATATGGGGTTGATGATTAAGGTTGAAATAAAATCTAATTTGAAGTAACACTAGACTAAAATAGCCTTTTGAAAACGGGATTAGTGTATGAACGCTAAACCTAAATTTATTCATTTGAACACATAAATATTAGTACAAAGGGGCGCCGCATACATATGCGCCACACAAGTCAATTGATTTTTGTGTGGGTTGTGATACTGCGCGGGTGCCCAGACCGAAGCAGGTGATTGTTCATCCTATGCTGATTGCTTTGATGTTGTCGTTATATCAAGAGAACTTTAATCTGGATTGTTCGAATTTCAAGACGAAGAGGAATGTAATGAACGAAGCTTTTCACAGTAAACCAAATTATTCTATCATGACAATCACACGCCGATTTTGTAAAATATGAAAACAATGCATTAAGTATACTATTAGCACATCTTCCTTGAGTTGTCACTTATAACTCCATCGTCCTTCTATCCTTGTTGTTATGTCCATTTCTTTCTTTTTTCTTTTCTCTTCTCCTCATTTTCTTGTTATATCCGTAAGAATCATATTTTCAATTCCTGATACATGCTACCTATAGCTGTCCGTACGAGTAGCACATATCACACTGGATTCAAATCCCAGAGAGAACATCAAATCTGGGTTACAGGTACATCCAGCTGATGAGTCTTGCATAGAACGTGAAGCTTGTCCCTGATCCCACTACCAGCTACCTACCAGCTCTGCCTTAAGCTAGTATTGTCGCAATTTTTTGTCCTTATGTTTACTAATGAACAAGAATGTAATCTTTATATATTCACCTCAAATTTTTAGACCCCAATTCGTGGTCACTAAATTACTTTTTTAATTTGGCTTTTAGAATTGTTGAACAAATTGTACTTTATCGACGTGTTCTCTATTACTTGGAATATGTTTTTGATCAAGTTAAAAAAGCGTTTCAAAACGGTCGTCTAAAATCTACACCCACTGCAAGAAGACGTAAGTGCCACGTTTTTCGTCATACTTTTAAAATTTAACCACAAATTGTTACCATTTTGCGTTCAAAACACGATTAGTACTCAAATAGCTTCCGTATATAGTTTCGAATGCTTCACTTTTACCTGACAACCTGCAAACTTCATTTTCATTGTCGTACTTACTTACGCCTGTTACTCCTTATGGAGGAGCATCGGCCGCCCACCAGCATTCTCCATACAATCCTCTCCTAGTCAATCCTTACCAGTTGTATCCAGTCTCGATTTATCGTTCTCATATCTGCTTCCGATTCTCAGCACAGTGTGTTCGTGGGTCTTCCTCTTTTCCTTTTGTCTTCAGGATTACAAGTTAACGCTGGCATTGTGATGCAGTTTTATAATTCCCACAATTTATGTCCCATTCACTTTCATCGTCTTTTCCTAATTTCCTTTTGAGCTGAAAGCTGGTCTGTTCTCTCCCATAGTAGGCTGTTGCTGATTGTATCCAGCAAACGGACATTGAGTATTTTGCGTAGATAATTGTCTATAAATACTTGTACATTTTTGATGATGGTTGTGGTAGTTCTCCAAATTCCAGCTCCTTACAGTAGAACTGTCTTGACGTTCATATTGATAATTGTGACTTTGATATTGGTTGACAGTTGTTTTTAGTTTCACATGCTCTTCAACTGTAGGAATGCCACCCTTTGTCAATCCTTGCCTTCAAGTCTACATCAGATCCTCCTTGTTCATCGATGATCCTGCCGAGGTTTTTCATCGTCACAGTGTGTTTTGATTCCTTTCGCCATTTATCTTCATTCGTATCTAAGTTTATTTATTATTTATTTGAACACATAAATATTGGTACAATAGGGCACCAAATATATATGCGCCACACAAAACAATGAGAATTCGAAGGGAAAAAAGGTAAGGAGCCTAAAAAAAAGAACAATAACGAACTGATTAGTGTAACGTTGTGTAATAATAATAATAATAGTAATAATAATAATAATAATAATAATAATAATAATAATGGGGGAAACGGAAAGGTACAACCAGAAAGAATTCTTTCAGTTAAGGAAGTTACAACCACTTTTTACGAAGAAAGTAAAAGAAGGTTACAGCAGGATCACCACTGGCTTCTATTCTGAGCCATATCTGATAGCGTCTCTAGCCACTGTGTTGCACCATCTCTCGGACCTCAACCAGGGAGTCGTGAAGGACCAACACAAGCCAGCTCTTATAAGCTTTCTTCCATACCACGACACCATGTCATACACTGACCGCCTCTCCGCTTTTTCCAACCAGTCCCAGAGTCGGCAAAGAATGCACGACGTGGAATTCTCTGGGACGACATTCGTAGAACATGTCGAAGACACCGAAGTCGGTGTTTCAAGACGGTGACACCAATTGAATTATCGTCTCTGTGCCCGAACACACGATGCCGAACCTCTGCACTACTAACATGGTGTTGCCAATGGATGTCAGCAATCCTTCGGAGACAGCGGTGATCAAACACAGAGAGTCGTTTAACATCCTCAACCTGGAGAGGCCAGGTTTCACAAGCATAGAGCAAAACTGCTCTCACCGACGCGTTGTAGATCCGACCTTTTACAGCCAGACTAACATCACGAAGGCGCCAAAGATGGCCCAGATTGGCATAAGCCACTCTGGCTTTCACTATACGTGCATTGATCTCATCACTCACGCCACCACCAACACCACTTATGCAGCTACCTAGATACACGAACTTTTCGACTATTTCTATCTGCTCAACATCCAGAGTGAGTACAGGATTAGAAAGTACTTGGAAAGTGCAAAGCACATAGCATACCTACGGACATTGATTGCCAACTGATTAAGTGCAGATTGCCTGGTTTGGGTATTAACGCACAGTAAGACAATGTCATCCGCATACTCAAGGTCGATAAGTCTTTCTCCAGGCAACAGATCCACACCGCCAATACTTACATCCACTACGATTGTTGGCCTGTGATAAGTATAACGGTGTTCTAACATTTGGTGGAGGGTGAAGATATGATCAATAGATCCTCGACCGGAACGAAAAACCAGCCTGCTCCTTGCGAGTCAATCTTTCTCGGGTTTTGAACACCCTGCATAGTATGACGGGATCCAATAGCTTGGACGCAATCGAAAGTAGACTTATCCCTCGATAGTTGTTACAGGAACGACGTGAACCCTTTTTAAAGATAGGGAAAACTATCGACTCATTCCATGACGTTGGTATACTCTCTAGTTCCCAGACTTTTGTAAACAACGTCGTCAGTCCCTTAGTCAGAAAGTCACCACCATCTTTAAAAAGAGCCGGAGGTAAGTCATCTGGGCCAGGTGATCTGTAGCGCTTCAAGAGTTGGAGTTCCTTGCGGACTTCTGCCTCATTTGGTGGATCAGTCGTCATCGGCCATGGAGGTCAGGACAGTTCGACCGATGTTGCCGGAGCAGCAGACCAGTTGAACTGCCCTTCGAAGAATTCTGCACATCGTCTAAGACGTCGATGGATGTTAGTGATTGGCATCCCGTCATCCTCGAAGATTGTTTCGCTCACACCAGACTTCTTGCTGCCAGTGGCTCGGATGATTTGGAAGAGCTTTCGGTAGTTATCAGATGTAGCTGCTGCTTCCATCTCATTAGCACGCTCCGACCACCAGGCTTCTCGGTCCTTACGCAAGCTTTGCCCGATTTCATTACCTAACACCCTTCGTATGTGGTCAAACTCACGGTCACCCGGAGTAGACTGGTGGGCTGCGATGAGTTGTAAGGAGCGCAGTGCTTATAAGTGGGACGTTTCGCGAAGCTGTAAGCGGCTTTACTCGCCATTTCCATGGCGTCGTGAAGTTGCAACCAACTTGCTAACATCAATCCTTTGGTAGCGGTTACTTTGTTGGCCACTAAAAAGTAAGGTAAGATTGGCGCAGACCAAGGCATGGTCAGAGTTCAGATAGGTTCTCCAAAAGGAGCGGCAGTATTGTACATAACCACGCAAGCGGTAGCTGATCGCGATGTGATCAATCTGAGTCCAGGCTTAAGATGCTGAGGGAGGACGCCAGGTGGCACATCGGCGATGACTGTGCCGAAAGTTAGTGCTAACGAGAAACAGGTTGTGGTCTGTGCACAGTTGCAGTAGATGGTCCCCGTTATCTGTCCTGCGACCAGTATTTTCCATAAATATCGACATTTCATCATATTTGTGTGTGGGCTGTGATACTTCCCGGGTGCCCAGACCAAAGCATGTGGTTTTCTTAGGGGGCCACAACCCGATCCTTTGACCTAATGGTCCGACCCACAAGGCAGTGGAGCATCGTAAGGAGATGCGTTTCGAGAGGGAAGGCGGGGCCATACCAGGACATTTGGGTATACCAATTTTTTAAAATTCTACGTGATTTCATGCCTTTATATTCATAATAATTACTAAGTTTCATTCTGTTTTAATTATAACGTCAGGGTCTATTATTTTGCACCTAATTAAATGTCTTTTCTCTTGATATGCTGAATGACCTTGTCTGAATATTTCGATTTAGAACAAGGTGGCTTAGATCACTTGAATTTCAAAAACTGGACTCCAATCCCATATATATCACAACCTTCTTACTAGAAGTGTTGCTTGGTTACTGAATTGTATTAGCTAGCTACTGAATTAGCCTGTCCTATTCATTTGATAAACTATTGAACAGTGCATAGCGTATTGTTGTTTTCGAAAACAAGACGAAATTAGCGAAAAAGTATTTCTTTTCACTTAATTTTTCATTGTGGCTCCACATTATTATGTATGCTTAATAATAATGATGAACTCGACGTTAATCAAATGATACTATGTCAGATAACAATATTACAAATCAAAATGTGTCTTTGGAATTAATTATCAATGAATAACGAATTAATTGAAGCATAAAGTAAATAAAGTAATTACTATTGAAAGGTATTAGTAAATAAATGGACTGTAACATGTATTTATCGAATTGATGGAATATTAATCAATAATTTAAGTTGAGTGACGTGGCCACTAACTTTTCATTTCACCAAATTGATAGTTTACATATTGTAATATGTTACACAGGCGTAAAGATAATGTTGCAGCTGTACAATAATAGTAGAATAAGAATTTCAATAATTAATTTGTCAGCCACTCTAGTAGCGCCTATTTCGCTGTCCTAGGTAAGGGAATTGGTGTAAAAAGTTCTCACGCACTCTGAGGTCATATTTTTTTTCACGGTTGATACCGATGGCTTCAGCCGTATGTAAAAAATGTACATGTAACCCATGAGTCAAACTTTGTGGAAGATGGTGAGTGATTTTTGTTTATTATTTCGTCTAATCGATCATCTTGAATAGTATCTTTCTAACTGATTACATTTTATTTCATACTATACCATATTTCGTGTTTTACAACTTTGATCCTGTTTTATTATATTGACAACTGGACTAAATTTTTTTTCAGTAATATTCTCTTTTTATTTATTACAAACTATTTGTTTTCGTTTGTACTTTTCAGGTTTAGTCGATTGTAATACATTATACCATCGTTGTTATATCCGACTTAGACAATTAGCAAGGCAATCACGTCGTGAAGATTTAATTGAACCAGTTGGTAGACTTTTAGCTAATATTACAGCTAATCGTTTAATATTTCAATATGCGTTGGATCAAGTTCGTTTTCTCATTGTTGTCCTCATTAAAAAGTTTCTTTTTATCTATTTGGATATTTCACAGTTTAATTGCTTTGTACACGTATTGTTCAGGCTAAATAAGAATTTCCTAGTCTTCATTTATTCACAGGATCGATCTTACTTATTTTTAAGATTAATATAATACAAACAGACTAGTCTAAATACTATATTGTGCTGATTTTATCATTTCTTCTTATTCATCTTAGAGAGGTTATTAGGAAAAGACGTTTGTTAAGATCTTTCAATTCAAAATTATTTCTCATCATCAAATGATATAAACTAGTGGACAATTCAAAACCAAAAAGTACTGAATAACTTTCGTTTTGATATATGCACAAATTAATTGACTTTTAAAGTATGGACCTTTGAATCCTGACTAAGTGCTCTTCATTGATGTTTACTCGTTTACAAGGTATAGATTTATGTACTGCTGCTCGATTTCCCAAACCGAAGTAGCTTTATAATAGCACTATCAAGCATGACTAAATGCAGTGTGCTACTTTTAGTTTGTACATCAAATGATGGGGCTGTAAATTCTTAGCAACTTAAGTGTTTGAAACATGGGTTATATGAGCTATTCACCGTCAAACTCGATATTCTATATTTGCTACCATAAAACTAGGTTGGAAAAAGACTGGGTTTGTTCAGCTTAAGACAACGTATCATTCTATGAGGTCATCGATTATTGATATACATTGAACGGGAAGTGGGGAACTTGGTTTAAAATGTACATGGCGGTTATAATCTATGGTTTTGGACTTTGCAGAGCCTAACATAGGTTACTTTTTTCGTAATCGTGTTGTCGATCAAAATTTATGAGTGTACCACGAACAAACGATAAAATGCTTTATCTTTATGATGTGTGGGCGAGGAAAATAATGATTGGTTGTTTTCTTAGTCGGACTAGTAGATAGTTTGACTGGTATTATATAAGTTATATATTTTCCTACCCTTATCGTTGGTTTTGCTGTGGAATATACTTATGTTTTAGTCAAGTTAGTCACGTGTTCTTGATCTGAGTTGTCCTGTAGGAAGGGTATCTAGTGTTAACATTTGTCTAAGGTAAATTAACGTTCCATTCGTGTAGTCCTTTTTTAAGTTGTACTTTCTTTTTATTATTTGTTTTATTATATTTTCATAACCAGTAAAAATATTTTGAGGAACTCAGTTTTACTTGTAAGGATTTGAGTCTTTTCGTTGTTGATATTAATTGCTTCAACTGATCAGTCTCTTTTATGATTTGTGTATCCTAATCAGATTGGCTTCACTAACTTACAATCATTTTTAAACAAGGTTTTAATAGTGGCTAGAAGTTTTGTTCTATTTGAAACCCAAATAAGTGAAATTAACTTCTATGCCCATTACCCAAGATAATGATTATTTCAAATCAGTGTCCAAGTGAATGATGGGCTGTACGTTTGAAAAGCAAGGTAATCGTTTCGAGTCCTGATAGGAATATTTGACAAAGGTGAAAGTACTTTCAAGCAAAAACGCGCTTAGAAATGTTGTAGAATTGTTTGAAAATTTACAATCCTAGATTAATTTTATCATTTATTACTAATGAAAGGCTAACTGTAAATTAGGAAAGAAATTATTATTTAAAATCCATGTTGTAAATATCTACACTTACAGTGATATTTATGCAGTCTTCATACTCTTTGAGATTCTATTTTTCGATTGAAGAAGTAATCTTTCGTTTAGATTTGATTATTTCAACTCTCGTTCTGTTTTTTTTTTAAATATATGTGTGTTATTTGAAGTACACTTTAGTATAGTGTTATTATACCATTTATTGTTTAATGCGGTTTTCTATAGCAAGCATATTGATTATTAGTGTCATCTGATTTTTCTTTTAATTTCAGTGTTATGCTGCTGAAATGGATGAGTATATTGGTGAAATCGCATTAGTATGTTTACATTTTTAACGTTTATTCTTAGTGCATAAGTCATATTGATGGTTCATGAAAGCATCATTGCTAAATATAGACGTGATTATAGCTCCCTAGCCGTTTAATTCAATTAATTATTTCAGTTCATTTATATATCCCGATCGGTTGTAATATTTTTTATCGTTTATCTTCTCATAATTGCTACCAAAGTTAATGCAACCATAAATATGTGAAACTTATAATAAATGTTAACATAATATCTGTAGTGAACGAAAACTCAGTTGAGAACTACCAATTTCATTCTTCAATGCAAAATTAACGAGTTCCTTCGTAAAAATGTGGAAAGCCATACTTCAAATACTTCATTTGTAAATCTTCCATTAATTGTCTCACACTTTATTATTCCTTCATTGCTATCACAATTACTCTCTGTTTACATTCCCGTTCTCTTCAACTCGATCTTCTCAAACTTCTGCTGCCAGGCATTCCACTTTTGACTGATGTTACATACTACTTATGTCGACAAACATAAGGAGCATATACCATATCACTAGGGTTAAATGGGAATTATAAACCCGTGTAAAGAATAAGGATTATAATTTACAATTGATAGTTAGGGTTAGGAATTAGATTTAAAGTTTCCATCACTAACTGACATTAGCTAAAGTCTCAAAATGCTCTTTAACCAAATGAGTGGATGAATCTCGCGTGAAAATCCAGGACCTGTTATCCTATGTCTGATTGGTTCGTCCATAATTTATAGTCTCGCTAATTTGTACGTTAAATGAAATCATGAAATTAATGGTCAGAATGAATATGGGTAAGATAGGATAAACAGAAATTATGATGTAATTACAAATCAGATACGATGTTTAATAAAGGGTTATAACAGTTATATAGATTCAATAAACAAAGTATGGTAAGTGCTAACTAAATTGTGCATGTGTTTAGAAGGTTAATAGTAATGTTGAAAGCATAATAATTAAATAAGGATTTATTAGTGGAAATAATAACAATAAGACGGTAGTATTTAACTAAGGATGTTCGTATGAACTTTGTTGTTTCTTCCAGAATTTATATAACCCTATACGATGTTCACTCATTTTTTATTGGTTGTTGTCTTATCAAAATTTATATATACTCTGATAGTAACTTATGTAGTCACCTTTTCTTTACATATAAATGTTCTGTTTTATTACTCGTCGGTAGTTGTCGTTGTTCAAGTGTTGTATTGTTTATACGTCGTCCACTCTGTCTAATTGCGTAATAATAATATCTCCAGTCTTCCTTCATTTGGATTTCAAACATTCTATGACACTATAAATCACTAAAGTTCGAGTTTGTGATCATTAGTCGATTACCTAATATTCATGTTACCTTTGTAAAAGCTAAGGAATGAATTTTTCACATATATAGCAAGACTAAAATTCCCATTATCAGTTGGTCATATACAACGTAGAACTTGAGGCACGTGTGCAGCCTTTCAAGTTGTCACACCCAAATAACACAGTGAGATGAAATTTTCAAGGTCAATTCTACAGTTTTGGCTGTATTAAAGGTATTAGTGGTAATCGAAAAGATTAGCCATAGAAGGTGCGATTCGAGAAGAAAATATGAATTAATAGAATTAAAAGAGCCTAACTTGCAATCCTCAAGATTAAAGGAAAAGCGAGAGTCCAAAGAACACATTGCGCTAAAAATTAGAGGCAAACATGAAGAGAATGGATCTCATCTAAAAGCAACTGGAAAGAAAAGCTCAGGATAGAGTTGGTTGGAGAATCCTAATGGGTGAGCTACGCTCTTACAAGAGTTAACAGGTTTAAGTTAAGAAAAAGAAAATTATAAGGTAGTGTATAAACTTATGAACTATAAAGGATACAAAGAATAGATGCACCAGTACCATTGAAAACGATTCTGAGCCATGTCACCTGAAGTCTAGTGGTTGGTTACGATAATCGAGCAGAACCCAACCGAGTTGGTCCACACCTACTTACCCGATCTACTCCAACGGTCAGTGACTTCATAACCTAATGATATGTTTTAGTTTGGTCACCCTCAGCTTTCATCCAACCTACTGCTCCACCAGACATAATCGTTCGACAATACAGGAGGTGGATGAGAGTTATCTAACATGTCCCAACCATTTTAGTTGATAAAGACTCGTATTCTTGTTTTTTTGAACCCCGTCTAATCATGGGTGCTTATCTGAGTAAACAAGCTGAAAAATAAAACTTATTTTAACTCTTTATGTCTTATAATAATAAATGATTATAAAAACATTCTTTTAAAATGAAGTCTTCTCCTTTTTAGTCTCTTCAACGATATAAGGCTGGTATCACTTTAATTCATGGCCTATGTCAACATGCTAAATCACAAAGGGATAAAACATTATTATCGGATTGTATGCGGTTATTAAGAGAACGCTATGCTTGTTTATGGTCGACTGCTACCAAACCGAATCTACAAACAATGCATTATCAACCTGATACAACAATGCCAACCACCACCACAACAACAACAATAACTCAATGTTCTAATGACAATCCTACAAATATTCTTTTACCATCGGACAGTTTACCCAATCCTAGTTTAAATGATCCATCATCAGAAGTGAATAATAAATTCACTGTAACGGTTGGTGCCTTACCCATGACTAATTGTGCACCGATCACATCACCTTTACGTTGATGTTATATGTATACCATACATGCATCTGTAATTCGTTGTTAATATACTTTTTCTTTTGAATTCACTACTACTAGCATTACTAGTATGTTTACCGTCATTCAGTAAGTTATCTCTATTTGAACATTATAATTTTATCAATATCATTATATTGACAATCAGGTAGAGAAGATGGGGGGTACCTCTCTTTTTGAAGGTAATAAAAAACGTAAAGTAAATCAACTGTTTCTCTTTTATCATCATAACCATTTAACTATTATTGCCATGTACAAATCCATATAATTTTGTCCAAACTAAACTCAAAAAAACCATCCACTTGAGTAATAAACCATTGACATATTTCACATTTGTTTTTTGTATTATTACTATTTCTCTATTTATTCAATATTATTGAATGTTTTATATTCTTGAACATTTTGTGTTTTTTTTTGTTTTAATGATTTCATTTATTTTTATGGTGTTAGTTATGAAAATAACAACAATAACAACAAAATTACAATGTTTAATTGTATTTAGGCATTAAGTAACATAATAATTATGTTATTTAGCTTAATTTTGTTTATTTATATATTTTCTCTCTCTTTGTGTATGTGTGAATGCTTATTGTCTGTTCTGTTCTGTTTTGTTTTGTTCGTTTATTCATGTTGTTTATACCCTTGAATTGTTTCCTCGAATATTTTCCAAATGTAATTGTATATTCTATTTGATGTTGATCTGTAGGAAATGCGAAGATAACTATAAGATTTTATTTGACTTTTGTAATTTCTGATGATTATAAAATGAATGTTTATTACGGTGACTAACCATACAAATTATAATGTTACTATTAATAATGACGAAGATGATGCTGTGGAGAGGTGGATGAAGCTACAATTGATCCTATCCCATCAATCAATAGTAATAATAGTTGTATTATAATTAACAACATTAACCCAGTAATCTTCAGATAATTTCCATTTATATATATATACGCTGGAAACATACATACATATGTGCATTCATGTTTATTTATTTTCTTTAAACCTTTAAAACAAACGAATCACTATTGTTTTGTGTGTTTATTTGTTTGAATACTCTTTTTTTTTCTGAGAAAGGAGAAAAAAAGAACTATTCTACTCAATTACAGACTAGCAGTAAGAAACTGAAAATATCGACTTTTTAGTTAATGTTATATACATATATATAGGCTAGAATAAGTGAAACTCGGTTTTTCATATTTTATTTTCTCTGTGATTGTTTGGTTTGAGACAATTGACATGCATAGCAGTGTTATGAATCAAAAGTAAACCACATCGATGTGTGAGCTGCCAAATTTTATAATCGATCTTGGATTATTGATTCTTGTAAAGCCGTTTCTTTAAATCCTTTAAGGTTACATAGTTGTAGTTAGCTAAGTATTCGCCCAGTCTTCAATCTCCATATAAATATTCTGCTGAAATAAATCATTTGATCCAGGTGTTATAAAACAAATATCCACAACTACAGCAAAAGTCGCTATGCTCCTTGCAAGGAAGTTTTTCACGACCTTCGAACAATCTGCGAAGTAAATAATCGACTAATAATGGGGATCAAATCGATTAGCACTCTCTCCGTTTTGGTGCTTGCTACGATATCAACACCAGCCAAACAGTACGAAGATACCATAGGGTCCCTGGACAGACGCGTATGCAACTGGCCTTTTGATTCTCCAGAAGGAGAGCTGATTCATTTTACTTCTCCAGAATCTTGAATAAGGGTCTTAGGTACACAACTGATGTTGATATTAAGACTTTCCAGACATAACAAAACCCATTTGATCTGCATCAGTGTATAAATAATGGATAAGACCTGTTTGAATGGCTTTTGTGGTTTCACGAAAGCTGATTTAAATTCCGAACTCGGTAGTAGCATTCAAACTTTTGATTGGTCAGTGATTTGAGATCGTTTAAAGTAGACAGAACATTAACCATAGACGAATATTGATATCCATACCTGGTAAATATGATGGTTACTAATAAGATTTTATTAGGTAATCCTTTACCATAATGATGAGATACAAACTGTATATGAAAAAACTTTCAATGAAACAATAGTAGCAAAGTTTCGTAACGTAAATCCATCTTATACTCAATTTAATTTCAAGAATATAATAGTGAAAATCATTGTGTAAATAAACGTGAATCTTCATAGATCAAAAAAGAAAATAATTTGTCAGTTTTTTAATTGACGTGATTAGAACAGAGAGTATTTTCTACATGATCAAGCAACCAGTCAATATGTGAAAAGACTGCATCTTGAAGCATCCTTTAAAGCAATAAAAATTGTTTGAGAAGTCCAGAGACAATGAAAAAAAAGCCGAACAACACTACGATGGAATAGTTATGAATATCAGTTGCTAGTTTTTGGTGACTTAATTCATTATGGTTTTTATCATTATCAAAGCGGACTCTTATCACAGAACTGCCTGCGTCATTCTTAGTGTTTTCAGAGTACAGTAAAAGCATTGTGTACTGAACTTTCATAATTTTCATTTAAGATGTTATTTCCAAACCTATTTCTTACTATATTTGTCGTTTCCATCTGGCATGTCAGGTTTTCAACACTTCCACGCTCATAACAGTCAGTTGCAGAAAATTTCAAATGTTTAATAAAAATTAAGCTCTAACTACAGTTTTCACTCATTAAGCGGTAGAAAGTGAGGAACATAACACATTTATTGATCTCAATCTAATTTCCAAGGGTTTGAGTTATCATGTTATTAATATTCTTGACTGAACTCTTATCAGTGTTAGTTGGTATTTGTACATCCTGTCAAAATTGCTTCGATATAAGAGTTTTGGCACAAGTTTCATAGCAGAGTTGGACTTTGGTTAGATGTAGAATCTCGAATCGAAAGGAATGCAAATCCCAGATTCGATTGCCGGCCATAATTCACCTCTTCTATGAAGTTTGGGTTGAATTCAGAAACTATTGAGGCTAACCTAAACAACATCTGTCCTTACAAAAAAGGCAAAATAATTTATCAAATTAGAGTGATTTATTATTTCGTTCAGCCAATCTAAGTATTGATCAATGTACGCAGACACGAATATATAAAACGAAACCGAACTCATCTCTTTAGGAAAATAACATTAAATGCAACGAGATACCTTCTAACAAATCATCTGTTTTGAATGCGACATGTTCAATTTGTAATGGAGATGAACAGTAATATGGCTTTTAAGTCATTGTAGTTTACGTAATGTATCAGCTTCTTGAGGGGACTTATTTAATTGAAATACTATGGTAGTTGTCTATCACAACACTTCTCAGTTAAACTAGGCTAAAATCAAAAAATACTTTAAATTTATAAAAGAACTTTTAATATATCAAGCGCGTTTATTCATCAACTTTCGGTCAATCAGATAAGTCTTAGGAAGAAAATGTACTATGCAATGAGCTTCTCTAGAGACGTAGGTAGTCAAAGCTCTCCAGGTTTAGGGAAGAATCTAGTCATTTATAAACTGTGATTGATCAGCTACCGAGTGACCATACAACCTGTTACTGACAAGTTATATATGATAGATTAGACTTATGTGATAGAAACACAAAAATCTCAAAGTGATATGATTATGTCTTGATCAAGTGGCTTCAATTTCCTACCTTGACATAAGTATGGCTTCATGAATTCAACGGAAATTTGTCAAGAGTTTGCTTTATTTTACTATTCCCATGACGAGTAGTTTTTTACTTTGATGAAAAATTGGCAAATTGAAATAATCTTTATAAATCACTGAAATAAACAGTTTTTCGGTACGTATTAGTGTCGAGATGGTATCTAAATGCTTTAGTGAGCAATACAGTTTACCGATGTTGTTAGAAAATTAGTCACTAACCAAATGGCACTAGATGATCTTCATGCTATTTCGAGAGATGATAGATATGAGTCATTGTATCTCAAATCAATGGTTCAAACATATCGTGTTACCTTAGAAAACTGAATGTCGTAGAATAATCCAGTATTCCATCGTAGGAATAAAATTTCTAAGAGTTCTTACCTTAAATTAAGCAAGAACTAATATTGATGCAGAATAGTATGAATTCATAATATTTCGAGGTTTCTTGTCAGCTGCTTACAACCAAATATGCAATAGAATTTTACATTGAGATAAGAAACAGTGTGAAATAATTGACAGAAATGAATGTAAATGATTGGAATGACAAGGGTTTACAATAATAACTATATATATATATATGTAAGAACAGGTCAGAGGTTAATTGGTGTTAGAATTAAGGAAACAATTCAGGATGGGTGGTGTAGTAGTTGAGTGGAGTTCATAAATTGTGTGATAATTTTAGAGGTAGTGAAGGAATCATGGAATTAAACAGTGATAAGACAGGTTACGTAATAATTGAATAGAGTTTGAAAAGTTAACATAATTTCTGAGGATAAGCGGGCGGAAATGTGTGAATGAAAAGTTGGTTTAAGAATTCGGTAATGGGGGGAGAAATATAGCATAAAGTAAATCTTTTAAAAATAAATAAATGAATAATATAACACAAATAACCATAAAACAATAAAAATGGATTACCAGGGTAATAATAAGTTTACTACTGTCTCTTTTGAATACATAAATCCGGTTTAAGTTTTTTTAATCGTGATCACTTCATCAAAACGGAGAGCAGTCGTATTTCTTTGTCTGCTGATAATTTTAAAAGCATGTGGAATGTCAATGGTATGCCCGGTGTCAAGTAAATGCCGAGTTATTTTTACATTCTACGTGATATAAAGTTATACCATCTTTGGATCCAGTTTTGAAAGATATGAATTTTTGATAGTATTACTTTCTTTTTGGTGAAGTTTTTTCTTCGAGCTAAATGCTTTGATCATGAAGCTTTTACCGTTCCTCTGAATAATATAATCAGCACAAACTTCAAGTAGACTTATATGAACAAAATTTCACTAAAGTCATCTCTCTGAGCTATAAATCTTCACCATCTCATTAATGCTTTCTATTAGTGGATGATATAAATACAAAGCCTTC